GACCCATCTCCCGCTGCTACCTCTTTCTCTTATACAATGGGAGCTGTGTTATCTTGCCAAGGGTACAAGGAAAGCCTTGGGTGTTGGGGTATGGATGGCAGTGCCCTGTGAGCTCTATGTCATGAGGCTAGAAGCCGGTCAGCCTTAGGCCCAACCACAGGTCTACGGCCACAGGAAGCAGAGGGCATAGGCTGGCAGGGCAGTGAAATATGGCTAGCTGCTGGCTTTGGTGGGAGCTTGCCTCTACACTTCAGCTTTAGTAACATGCTTCCTAGAAAACTGGCCTACCCTAAGGCCTGCACCAGTGGGAAGCACTGCCATCTAGCTAAGGGTGGGCAAATAGAACTGTGTATCTTGTCAACTGCCATCAAAAGTGAGACTCCATGCCCCAGTATACCCCGAGTCCCAACTTCTCCCAGCCCCCCAGCTCCTAACATTTCTCCTGCCCACAGACCTCTTTAGTCTACTATACTCAAAAGGCCATAACCCTCAATTCCAACAAACTCCAATTACCCATACTCTTCTCCCACCCCCCACCCCCCATAAGGTTTTAGGTACTGAGAAAGACACATAATGGAAAGATTAGTTGACTTGGGAGTCAGACAACCTGCATTCATATCTAAGCTTTGTTACTTACTACTTAAGTGACTTACTCAAGGTCCTACCATCAACTCTGGGCTTCACAATTTCTCAAGTCTCCTCTAGCTAGTTCTATCCTATGAACCTCCCCCATAGCATCCAAGCCTTCTACTGCCTCCAATCCTCCAACCCCTAAATCCAAAAAGTCTCAATGATCCCAAAAGACCCCAGTACCCACGCTGTGCTCCCCACTGTCCCCAAGCTCCTCCAATGACACCAGCAGTTCCTGAAAACCAATCAACAAGCATTTATTAAGTACCGACTACATGCCAATTACTGTACTAAATGTTCAGGACAAAAAGACATAGTACTGTCCCCATAGAACTTATGTTCTATCTGGGGAAATAACGTACGTACGTACGTACGTGTGTGTGTGTGTGTGTGTGTGTGTGTAAATACAAAATATATACAAGATAAATTAAGAGTGATGGAAGGGGGATCAGCAGCTGGAGGGATCAGGACAGGTTTCCAGTAGGAGGTGGCACTTGAACGAAGCTTTGTAGGCAGCTAGGAGTGTAAGAGGTGAGATCCAGGAGCCAGGAGTGTATTCTGGGTGTGGGAGATGCTCATGCAAAAGCATAAGATATGGAATACTGAGTATAAATAACATCACGCAGATCGGGTTGCTTGGAACGTAAGAGTGTGGGGAGAGAAGCAATGAGAAATAAGCAGGGAAAAGTAAACTGGTGCCAGAGTGGGAAGGGCTTTAAATGCCAAGTAAGGGAGTTGTTATTTTATCATGGAGGCAATTGGGAGCCATGGGAGTTTTCTCAGTAGCGGAATGCCAGGTAGGACCTATACTTAAGGAATATCAACTAGGCAGCTGTGTGTGGAAGATGGGTTTGAGGAAGAATGGCAGGGAGACCAGTAAAGAGTCTAGGGGAGAAATGAAGAGAGCCTGCGTTAGTCTGGTGGCTGTGTGAGTGGAAAAAAGGTCAATGAAGCAAGAGGTGCTGTGGAGGCAGGGAACTGTCTAGACTTGCCAACTGATTGGATATGAGGGATGGGGGAGAGTGAGGATCAGGGATGAGTGGGTACCCTCAGCAAAAAGAGGCCAGTCAGGATGATGGGTAGGTTTGGGGGAAGGGGAGCTCATGAGCACTGTATTCCAACACTGCCATCTTGCCTCCTTAAGACTCAAACTCCCAACTCCCCTTGCCTGTTCTGTTGGTTATCTGTTCACTAACCTGTAAGTTTTTCCAATGGGTTTCCCTTGTCAATGATTTTAATACTAGGTTCTAACATTGGCCAAGTACCCAAGTCAAGAGCAACTCTCTCATCTTTTAACTCCTCCCCTAAAATAGGCTGAATACCCCTGGCAGGTCACTGTTACTTGTCCCATTTGCTAGATGCCTGGGCCCCTAAGGAGACAATCTGAGCCAGGCTGGACACTCAATACCTCATCTTTGAGAGTGCCCAGGGGTGACTGGGGTGAAGGTGGGGAGGGAGACTGGGCCAGGGATCATGCTGGGGGAGGGGAGAGGTTTGGGGGAGGGGACTCGAAGCAGTCTCCACTTCTTCTATGGAGATTCCACAGTTTCCCCTTCTCAGCTGCCAACCACCACTCCCAGAATGTGCACTTGTATTCAGATATTTGACCCAGGAAGGCAGATTCTATTTGTTCTGGTTGATGTGAAGATGGCAGAACTACGAGCAATAGGTAAAAGGTTCCATTAGGCAGATTTTAATCTAAAGTAATGAAAAATACCTTAACAATTGGAGTCATCCCAAAATAGAAGAGGCCATCTTGGTGTGATATAGTAAGCTCTCCTTTACTGGAGACAGTCAAGTGGAGGCTGGAGCCGAGAAGGCACTATTAGACCATCTCATCCAACCACCTCATTTTACACAGGACACTGAGGACCAAAAGAATTAACCACCTGGCCCAAGGGTACACAGGGGTTGAGCAGCAGAGCTCGGATGGGAGCTCTGGCTCTGACTCCAAATCCAAAGTTCTTTGACCTAGTACAATACCACCCTTCTAACACAGTTAGTGAACTCTGAGGTTTGTGATTCAGGGAGAGGCTGGACTGAAATACTTCTAGTGTTACAATCATTTCCATGACTTTAATAACAATAACCTGACAGGTAAAGCGTAGCATTTATAATTTCCCAAAGCTACTTCTCAATCATTACCTCAACTGAGTCTTTTTAAGGTAAGGACAGCGGAGGTTAGATCTGCATTTTTCAGATGAAAAAACAGGCCCAAAGAGTAGCTTACCAAAACAGCACAGAGTATTGGATTGGAGGCCAGCCTAGGAGTCAGGAAGCCTAGGAATCAAGGACCACCTTGGATACACAGGAGGGCAGGAAGTGAGGTTCAATGGAAATCATGCTGGCTTTGGAGTCAGAGAACCAGCTCAGATTCTGGCTCTATCACCTATTACAGATGTGACTCTGGCTTCAGTTTCTTCATCTGGAAAATGTGGAAGGTGTTGGGCGAGATGACCTTTGAGGTTCTTTCCAGTCCTACATCTAAGACTTAATGAGTTTGAGGCAAAAGCAGGCCTAGAACTGCAGATCTCTCTCCATCTGTCTGTTTATTTCCTATCCCCGACCTTCCACCACACCAATCCCAATTCAATTTCCTCATTTAATCTATCTCCAATTCCTGTGTGGCCCTCCAGGAGTATGCAGAAGTCAGCTCAAAACTACTCTAGAAAGTCATAGTTAATTTTCACCTTGAGCATTTTTACACCTCAGAAATTGGCAAATACTACAAATAAGGGCTTGATTTATTGTCCTGTTGATTGTCTACACTTAAGAAAGTAACCAAGAAAATGTTAATGTCAATTAAACTTAAAAAATGTGTCCTGCATGTTTTTTTAGGAGAGTTGGTTGTTAAACACTTTTCAGCACACCCCTACTCTTATCTAGATGGGACCAGGAGTTCCAACCCCTGTCAAAACTTCCTGCCCTGAACCTGGGATGAACAGACCTGATCACTCTCACTCTGCTCTCAACACAATGGCCAGAGCATCTGCTAAACTAAGGCTCTCCCCCAACACCTTCTCTCTAGTTTCTTCTTGGGGAGATCTTGTCTCGTCTGTCTTCCTCATCACATCACCACACTCCACGCCATGCCACCAATTCTTCCAGATCCCTCCCCTCAACATACCTTACTTCCCTGGAGATCCAGGACCCTCCACACAAGGTCCAGCAGCCTGACCCAAGCCCAACCAAAACACAATCCTTTGCCAAGACAAAAATGCTCCAGGCACTGTCCCACGCCTCCCACAATCCCCATCTTCTGGGGTTCCCCTGCCTTACAACCCCAGCTCCCTAAAGTCTCTCTCCATCCACTCTCCCCAGCTTCCCATCTTATCTGTCCCCTCCCCCAGGCAAGAACTACATCTCCCAGCAGCACCTGCTCTGGCCAAGGGAAGAAAAAAAAAAGTTTGGGCCAAAGCATTCCTGGAATTTGTTTCCTGCCTGAGGGAGGGAGGGAGGGAGGGAGGGAGGGAGGGAGAAATCAAGCGGGGTGGGCAGGCAAGGAGAAGAGGGGAGGGGGCGGCCAGGGGCAAGGGGCTCTGCCTGGCCTGGCAGGACCCTGGCCCAGCCCCCAACCCCAGCCCCCAGCATGGCCGAGCCGCTACTCAGGAAAACCTTCTCCCGCCTTCGGGGCCGGGAGAAACTTCCCCGGAAAAAGTCGGATGTGAAGGATAGAGGTGAGGTCCAAGGGGAGTTCCCAGGGCCAGAGCTCCTACTACTGACATCTCTTCCATACACAGCCCTCTCAGATGCCCCTCTTGGGGGGACCCCAAGGTGGAGGCTGGAGGAAGGAGGAATTGGTGCCTCAGGGAATGGAATGGGGGTGGTGATCTGGGAGCGAGGGGTGGAAGGATGGAGGGGGGGAAACGGAGGTGGGATGGGATGGGGTAAGACTAAACCGTTATTCAGTTGGAATAGCTGACTATCCCAGGGGATTTCTAGAGAGGCTGCTGCTCCTTGGGGCAGACCAAGGACAGGGAGCGAAGGGGTGGTGAGAACAGTGAGGAGGGGACCCTTTAGTTGGGTCGATAGGGTGTGGGGAGCAGAACCTTGGGGGAATGCTAAGGAAGGAAGTACAGATGGCAGGGAGGGGACATCTCTACTGATGTCAGGCTTTGCTTAGAACCCTAAGTGGGTGTGAGTGAAAGGGGAGAGCCTGGATTTAAGAACTGGGTCCCTCCTCTCCTCTGGCCAGACTGGAAAGGGACAGTCTCACCTCCCCCCCTGTTCCCATAGGCCGCCCAGCCCCAATCCCAGAACCCAGTGTCCCAGAGCCAGCACCTGAAGTCCCCAAGACAGAGGTGGCAGGGCCTGGGGAAGAGGAACCTCCTAGCATTGAAGTATCCAGAAACCCGGCCAGGGGGGCCTACCTGCAGAGCCTGGAGTCCAGCAGCCGTCGCTGGGTGCTGGGAGGCAGCAAGGCTCCTGAGGAAACAATGCTGGGACCTGGAGGGCCCACTGAACTGGTTGGAGAGATATGGTACAATCCCATCCCTGAAGAGGAGCCAGGAAGCCAGACATCTGGGGGGACCACACCCCAGGCCACTCAAGCCAGCCAGGAGAGTGAAGCCCCTGGGGGTAATGAAACAATTGTAACCTAATCTCTTTCCTAAACCCCTCTACTCAGCTGCCTCCGGGCCCCATGACCTATTCTTCTCCCCAGTCTGTATCTCTTACTCTTTCCAACGCCCTAACCCCAGCCCTGCTCTCCAGCCTTCCCTCCAACCTAACTCCCAGTCTGTCCAGAGTGTTCATTCTCATGCCCACACTCCTGACCCCTGCTCTCTATTCTCAGATCCCTTCCCCCAGTTCTCCCTATGCCAGTCCCTGCCCCACCCCCATTCATTCTCTGGCCCTAGGTCCCTAAGTCTGGCCTCTGTTCTCCAAGCCTAACTTCTCTTCTGCCTCTACACAGGAACAGCCCCAGAGGTTGCCCCCAGCAATCCCCCAACTAAACCATCACGAACCAAATCTCCCGGCCCTGCAAGACGCCTCTCAATGAAGATGAAAAAATTGCCTGAACTAAGGCGTCGATTGAGCCTCAGGGGACCCAGAAGCGGGCGGGACCGGGAAGGCGAACGAGAACGGGCAGCCCCAGCTGGCTCAGTCATAAGTCGATACCACCTGGACAGCAGTGTGGGAGCACAGAGGTGTACAGAGGGAGCCCAGGGGGGCCAGGGCGGCTACCTCAGCGATGGTGACTCCCCTGAAAGGCCTCCTCCCCCATCTCCTGATGCCTTCCGGCCCTATGAAGCAGCCCCACCACCCCGTGCCTCACCCCCTGCCCTCTGGGGGCGCCTCAGTCTGCACCTATATGGGCTGGGAGGCCTGCGCCTGCCACCAGGACCCACCTCACCAAACCTTTGCTGCCTGCTGCAAGTGGATGGTGCCCCGAGAGCCAGAACAGGACCACTTCAAGGGAGTGGTACTGATTTCTTGAGGCTTGACCACACTTTCCACCTAGAGCTGGAGGCTGCCCATCTGCTCCGGGCCCTAATCCTGGTCTGGGACCCCTGTATTCAGCGCCACCGGCCCTGTGCTCATGGCACTGTGCTGCTGCCCTCTCTTTTCCGAGGTGCATGGGGGTTTGGGGATGGATCAGGCAGCAAACCTGGGGATGGATCAAGTAAGGTCTTGAGAGCACAATCAGGGAGTCAAGCCTGAGGGCTCCCTGGTGAGGGAACAAGTGCTCAGACCAGCAAGGAATGGGAACTGAAGATACGGGGAGAATGGGTGGCCAGAGAATGGGCAAGGGATACAAGGAACTGAGCATGGGGAGCAGGACTGGTACATAAAGGCTATGGAGCCTATAACAAGTTTCTACATTATACTGTTATATCTTGCTCCCAGGGTGCCGGGCCCAGCAGCTAGCAGTGAGGCTAGAACCCCAAGGCCTGCTATATGCAAAGCTGACACTCTGGGAACAGCAGGAAGCCCCAGGAAGCCAGGAACCCAGAGTCTTTGGGTTACCTCTGCCATTGCTTGTAGAGCGGGAACAAGCTCCAGGTCACGTGCCCCTCATCATCCAGAAGTGCATTGGGCAGATCGAGAGAAGGGGGCTCCGGGTGAGGCCTGGACACACTCTCTCTCTTCTATACCAGATCCCCATTTTCTCACCCCTCACCCTACCCTCCTGGATTCTGTGTTGATATGGGCTGTCCACTCGATGGTCTAGGTCCCAGGTAGCCATATTAAAGGTTCCTCTCCCCTTCCCAGGTGGTGGGGCTATATCGGCTATGTGGCTCAGCGGCTGTAAAGAAGGAACTTCGGGATGCCTTTGAGCGAGACAGTGCAGCAGTCAGTCTCTCGGAGGAATTGTATCCAGACATCAATGTTATCACAGGTCAGAATTTTCCCCTCAACCCATGTCTCCTTCTGCCCCACCAACCCCTCTCTTTGGCTCCTCTAATCCCACTCCCAAATCAAAGTCCCCCTAACATGACCTCTGCCTTCTCCTCCATAAAGCACTGAACCATTCTATTAGCCCAGCCTCCCCTTTTCTCTCTGACTAGGGTTCCTCTGGGAAATCTCACTTTTCTACAACGACTTTCCCCTCCCCCACATCCTACCTCTCTTCCAACTCGGGGGCCAGGAGTACAAATAGGGCACAATCAGCAGAAAGAGACAAAGAAGCCCTAACCTGAGCTGGGGCTCACCTCTGTAGGGATCCTCAAGGACTACCTAAGAGAGCTACCCACACCCCTCATCACCCCACCACTCTACCAAGTGGTCCTCGAGGCCATGAGGCGGAGGCCACCCGGCGGAGGCAGGGTCAACCCACAAAGTACCAGAGAACTCCTCCAATGTCTGCCTGAAGTTGAGAGGGTAAGTGGATTGGGGAGAGGTAGAAGGATGGGAAGAAAGAAAGGGAAAGAGAACATTGGTGATTAAGTAATGGGTACAAAAGGTGAGGGAAAGGGAAACAGGAAATGAACTGGGCTAAATTAGGAAAGCAGTCACCCACTTGAGCCACAGCACAGACCCTTTATAACATTTTTCACAAATGCACATATAAAGGCCATGGCCTGTGATCATTTATTTTGTGTTGACATATGTTACAGTGATAACCCAAAGCCTCCAGTGGACAACAGTACACATTACTGATATCCTGCCTAGGGCACAGGGAACAGGAAGAAAGCTGGGGGTGGGGAGAGGGAAATAAAGGGAGCAAGGGGTGGTGCGGATGGAGTCAAAGGACAGGCTATTGGAAGAAAGCTGGTGGAAGAGTGACAAAGGAAGGAGAAGAGTGGGGAACGACAGTATGGACTAGAGCTAGAGTCAGAAACAGGGATGATAAGGAAATGGGGACAGGGAGGATGAGGGGATAAGGTGGGTAGGGAAGAGGATAGGAGGAAGGAATGGGAGAAAGGTGGACAGAGCGGGAAGTTCAAAGGGCAAGATACCGGCAGAGAAGAATGGCAAGGAAGAAAGCATAGGGAGGGTAGAAGACAGAAGTCAGGGACTGGAAGAGGAGCAGGAGCCCAGGGATCAGAGGAAGCAAAGGAACTGGAGAAAGCCCGACCACGCCCCCGGCTCCCGCCTGCTCATTTAAGCTGCGCCCCACCCCCACTCCTGCAGGCCACGCTGACTCGGCTCCTGGATCACCTGCGCCTGGTCTCCTCCTTCCACGCCCACAACCGCATGACCCCCCAGAACCTAGCTGTCTGCTTCGGGCCTGTGCTACTGCCCCCACGCCAAGCGCCCACCCGGCTCCGAGGCGGCTGCCCTGCCTCAGGTTCCGGTTCCACCGTCGCCAGCGCCGTAGATTTCAAGCGTCACATCGAGGTGTTGCACTATCTGCTGCAGGCCTGGCCAGGTAAGCTCCGCCTCCCGCAGGCCCCGCCCATCTCAAGCAGAAGCCCAATCCCCCAGAGGCCGTGTCCATCAATCAGCCATCCGGCAGGCCAATCCCCTGTAACCATGCCTGTATTAAGACCAATCAGAAACCAAATCACCTTAGAGGCTACGCCTCTACCTAGCCAAAGATGGGCCTGAGCCACACAAAAGCCACGCCTACCATCCAGCCAATCAGAGGCCCAAACTCAGGCACCCCACCCGTCAACCAGGCAATCCGAGAACGGCTAGTAGCACGCTCCCAAGGCCGACTGGGGGTCAGATGTAGGCTCAGAGCCAGCTCTAGGCCATTCCCTTCCCCTCTTCCCCTAGACCCCCGCCGCCCCCCGGATCCTCCAGACAGCGTCCCCTACCTCCGCCCGAAGCGGCAGCCCCTGCTGGAACTGCCGCTGGGGGAGCCCGAAGTGGTGACGCGTCCCCGAGACCGAGGTGGGCCCGAGAGCCCCCCTAGCAACCGCTACGCTGGCGACTGGAGCATCTGCGGGCGGGACTTCCTGTCTTATGGGCGGGACTTCCTATCCGGCCCAGACTACGACCAGGTAGCGGGAAGCAGCGAGGACGATGACGAGGATGAAGGCAGAGGGCGAGAGGGTGCCGGTGATTTCGTGGGCGATTTTGCCCTCATGGATGATGATCCCGAGGCTCCTTTCAACACCCGCCTCAACCTCAAGGACTTTGACACCCTGATCCTGGACCTGGAGAGGGAGCTGTCCAAGCAGATCAACGTGTGCCTCTGAGCCCTGGCTGGGAGCCTGCCTCCCGTTGCTAGGGACCATCTATTTCCTTGTTGCTAGGGACCAGCCTTCCGTTGCCAAGGACCATCTCCTTGTTACTAAGGAGATGTCCTTAACGAGGATAAGTAGCCCTCTTGCCTTGGACCTTTTCCCCTGAAACCAGGGACCACTTTTCCTGAGGCCAGTTTGGTGCCCTCTGTAGGAGTCAATCTACTGCAGCCACTTTTGCAGGTCAAAATGACAGAGAGTAGACTGGAGTGGAAAGAGCCAAAAATCCAGTCAGAAAGACCTGTGCTCCAATCTGCTCAGCTACTTGCTACCATGTCAGCTGGGGCAGATCACTTAAGCTCTCTGGGCCTGTCTCCTCATTTTTACAAATGAGGAGGGTTGGACTAGATGATCTCTATGGTATCTTCTAGCTCTAAAATCTTATGATTTATTATCTTGCTGTGATCACCCACCTCCCTGAGGGGGGGTACCCCAACACACCCTCCCTTGCTGCTGCCAGCCAAATCAGTATTAGCTTTGGACACAGCTCTGCCACCACCTACTCCCCTAAGCACTGAAATCAGCAGTGTCATTTTAGGAGTCCATGAGCTGACTCCAGGTCAGGGCTATCTGGACAGGGCAACTGGTATTGACTATTGCCCTACCTCCAATAGTATATGCTCCTCAACTCCCAAAGAAGGATAGGGAAAGTCAATCACTGCCTCAGAACAAGTAGGGGTAGCAGAGTACAGGTCCTAACCCTCTCAGGCCCACCAAACTAAGCACTTACCCCTCCATTCTTCTGAAGGATGGCTTTCTGCCCATTCTTCCTTCCCCCTCCCAAGAGCCAGGCTGGTATACTTTGGTACGAACAGGCTCTTATTTATTGCCTCCAGCTGTGAGAATGTGTGTGTTTATGTGTATGTGCATATGTGTGTGTGTTGAGAATAAGAGAAAATGTTGTATAAATATGTTTATAAAGATGTCTGGGGCTCTAGGTCAGGGAAAACATGGGGATGAGGAGTCAGCAGTGGATATATACTTTCTGAGGCCACAACCAATAGGCACCACTGTGGAACCCCACCCCACTCTAAATCCCTCTTACTTGTGAGGAGCCATTGGTGGGAAAGTTAGGGTCCTTTCCACCATCAACTACTACCCTCCCTCAACCCTATTCTCACTGTGTGAACAATAAATCATTATGCACAGGTACCAGGGCTGAGTCCTTGGGCCACCAAAGGCCTAGATGGGATGTTTATTGAACCAAATGTTCATGGGAAAAGAGGTCATTATCACATCCAGGGATGCTTCAACCCAGCCTAGTGAAAAAGGCTGAACTCACCACCCAGGGTAAACCTCTAAGAATGGTCTCATTCTCAAGTGTCCTGTTCCCTTCCCACTCTTGACACTGTCTGAAACAGTATCCTCTGAGGAAGGGGGAAGGGCAAGATGGCCACTTCCTCTAACAGGTGGCATAGGGAGGTCAGGGCACAAGATGATGGATTGACAGGCCCTCCTACACAGAGATGGAACCATCCCGGAAGTCCGACTTTCCAATGAGAACATTAATAAGGACAGGCTGGCCCTCATGACACCGCTTCTGGGCAGTTTGCAGCACCTCTGCAGCCTTCTCCTCATTCTCCCTTGATAGCAGGAAGCCCTGAGACCCTAGCCCTTCTGCCACCACATGATAATCTGCAGAAACAACATGAGAAGACAATCAGAATATAGTTTTAGCACAAACCCAGATCTTAGAATAAAGCTGCAGGTGACTTATCTACCTCTAGGACTTAAAGAAGTAGCAGGTGGAAAAAGATGAAACAAAAAACCCATCCTGGTTACACACCCCACTGCAGCACAGACCATGCTCCCACCCTCCCCCAAAGTTTCCTCACCAGTGTAAACTAGACCACAGGCCACATTACTGCCAAGAATGGGCACCTGCTCCCTAGAGATCTGGGTCCAACATGCATCATTCCCCACCACAGCGATAACAGGAATCTGAAAGAAAAAAAAAACATGAGGTAGGAATCCTAACCCCCAAACCTACCCTTTGCCCCAAGCTAAGAAAATGGAAGCTAGAGAGGAAAGGGGTGGGGCCCCCCAAGGAAAAAGGGAAAAAGACAATTGGGGTAAGGGATGAGCAGAAATCTAATATTTCTCCCTCTCCTTAGATGAGCAGTTCTCCCACAGGTCCAATATTTGCTATCAGGGAACAGCAAGAATACCCTATTGTGCCCACCTACCTTGTGTCTGACAAAGGTATCAAACTCAATAATGCTGTAGCCAAGGGCACCATCTCCAAAGAGGACCCAGACCTAAGGAAAGGGGAAGTAAGCAACATAGGAAAGCACTAACCCATGGGCTGGCACCCCTCACCCTTAGTGCATAACTCACCTCTGCATCTGGCCGGCACAGCTTAGCGCCAAGTGCAAATCCTCCTCCTACTCCCAAAGTCCCAAAAGCTCCTATGAAGAAACAGGCAGAGGAAAAAAGGAAAGAAGGTTAACATGTCCAAATACTCAAGGCCCCCCCAAGACTCTCTAGATCTAGGGCCCTTTCCCAAAAAGAAAGGTGAGGAGAGGGCACAGTTGTTCCTGCTCCCTACTCACCAGGATCAAGCCAACTCAAAGGGCCTCGGGGCCGAACCAGATAAGCAGCACTGCCCACGAAATCTCCACCATCTGCCACCAGCACCGAATTATCTGGCAGGGTCTTCTCAACCAGCTCCAACACCCAAAGTGGATTCAAGTGGTGGGTTGTGGGCACTGATGCCTTTTCTCTAGAATAGGCAGCCTGTTAGCACCCTGAAAGAAACACTTCTACCACTCTAGTCCACCCATTTTCAAGGACCAAAGGAAGCTTCCTTGGCCTTTGCAGAACCCTCCCCATTTCCTCCTCCCATACACACTTTAGCCCATTCCCCCTACCACTCCAGGCTCCTAAGCCCAATGATAAACCTCCTGCAACACCCACCGATTGGCCTGTTCCTTCTTTCGGTCAGTCTCTTGAAGCTGCTCAATCCAGTCCTGGTTCCACGTCTGGCCCTGAAGTCCTTCCGCTAGCCTTAGCAGAAAGGAGCCTACATCCCCTGGGAGGAAAGTATTGGTGGGGTTGGGGTTATATGCTAAGATGGCCTTCTCTGCCCCAATAGGCTGGAAGAACCTAATAGTCAAGGAAAAGGCTCAAAAGGAAGGGCAAGACAGATAAGGCCTTTTGAGGCAGTAATGCGGCACAGTGGACAGAAGGCTAGGCCTGGAGTCAGGAAATTGTTCAGTTGTTTTCAGTCATGTTCAACTCTTCGCGACCCCATTTGGGGTTTTCTTGGAAAAGATACTGGAATGGTTTGTCATTTCCTTTTCTAGCTCATTCTTTAGATGAAGAAACTGAGGAAGTGGGGTTAAGTGAACTGCCCAGGGTCACACAGCTAGTAAAGTGTCTGAGGGCAGATTTGAACTCAGGAAGATGAGTCTTCCTGACTCCAAGCCCAACACTTTATCCACTGTACCACCTAGCTACTCCTAGTCAGTAGTTAGGAAGACCTAAGTTTAAATCTGGCTTCAGACACCTACTAACTGTGTGTCCCTCAGCAAGTCACTTAACCTCTGTCTGCCTCAGTTTCTTCAACCTTAAATTGGAGATAATAACAGCACCTACCTTGCAGGATTGTTCTGAGGACCAAATGAGATAACATTTGTACAGTGCTTAGCACATAGTAGATACTATATAAATGTTTATTCCCTTTCCCCTTTCTTTCTCCTTCCTGCTATCACCCCTCATGAGAAAAAAGAGGCAAGGAACACCATAGGGGGGTAATCAGACATGAGACAAAAAGCTCAGAGTAAAGAAGGTAGAGCACACATCATAAAAGAAAGAGTCCTAGACCTCAGTTCAAGTCCCAACTCTGCCCTTATTATTTATCATCCTCTCTGAGCTTCCATTTCTCCAGCTGTAAAATAAGGATGACCTGTCCCACTTACTTCACGGAGGTGTGGACAAGATCAAATGAGAAAATGGATATAAAGTGTTCCATAATAGTGGAAGCATACACAAGTCTCCTACCAATATTATTGCTCATCAGCACAGGCATGGGAGTGCCCTCAAGCAATGCAGAGAAGGCAAATGGCAATCCATCTAAAACCTAGTAGCTTAATCCTTAGGAGTGGCCTGAGACCTAGAGATTAAGTGATTTGTCTGGAGCAGGGGTGGGGAACCTGCAGCCTCCAGGCCACATATGGCCTTCAAGGTTCTTGGGTGCGGGTCTATGTTTTAAGGAACAAATCCTTTTATTAAGGGGATTTGTTCTGTGAAGTTTGGCATCATATAGCTAGTGTGAAGAATGAGATCTGAACTCAGGTCTTCCTGATTCTAAGATCAGTACCACAGTCACTCTGCCATTATTCATATTAAAGGATTGTTAGAGATCCAGTGTGATATAGTGCAAAAAGCACTGGAATTTAAAAAGTCAGAACTTACATTGAAATGCCAGTTCTACTGTTTACTATCCTGTGACCTTGAGAAAGTAATTTTCCTCTCTGGTTCTCAGTTTCTTCCTCTGTAAAATGAGGGCATTGGACTAGATCATCTCAGTTCCCACCCAGATATAACTATGGTCCAAAAACAAATCAATGAATCCTATGAGATCCTAGCTGTTACCCTGCTCACCTTGCACAGCCTCCTGAGGCTTCCAGAAGAGGTCAGAGTTGAGCAGCAACTGTTCTCGGTCACGATTGACGGCAATAATTTTGCTGCTTCGGCTTAAGGCACGGCCATAAGACAGACGGAAGTCACACACGGCACCTGGCGGTTTTGGGAGGGCATAACAAACTTGAACACAGCAGGGTGTTTAAAGGTGGTGAAGGGTGGTCAGTGGTAATGGGAGGATAATGAAACCTGTGCAATTTCATTTAATTCACAGTTCAGGTGTGTTGGCAAAAGCATTCTTATAACTGAATGGACTGCAAGCTCCAGACCCTGCCTTACTCATCTCTGCCATCACCAGCACTGAGTCACCTGGCAGGGCCTCTCCACCAGCCCCAGCACCCAAAGTGGGTTGCCATGGTAGGATGTGGGCACTGCTGCCTTTTCCCTAGAACAAGCGGCCAGTCAGCACCAGCTGAAGTAACAGTCCACAGTAAATATCTGTTAGATGAATAAATGAATGGAAAGATAAAGGCCCTATTAGAATGTAAGCTCTTTGAGAGCAGAGACTTTTGTTTGCTTGTATCTATATCCCCTGTCACACAGTAAATGCTTGATCTATCTACAGAAATATAAGTTGTTATTCTTATTCTCCATGATTGATTCCAAAACACAAGGCATGGGAAAGTCTACAGATGTTACTATCCTATTTTACAGCTAAAGAAATTGAGGCACAGAGATGTTAAGTTGCTTGCTCATAGTTAGTAAGTATCAGAGGCAGGATTTAAAACCAAGTATCCCTGACTCCAAGTCCGGCACTCTATGCACTATACCATATTATTGGTTGGTCTTTTTGAGCCTCAGTTTCCTCAGTATGTAAAATGAGAATAATTTTTCATTTTGATCCACACCTGTGATTTTATCAGTGTAGGGAGCTTCTTAGTGAGAAAATTCTCTTGACTAATTGAAGATCAGTAACTATTCTGCAACCTATAGTATAGGCCACGGAGGAAAAACGGTGATTACATCTAAGGGTTGGTGTAAGGATTACACAAGAAAGTACACAGTGTTTTGTAAACCTTAAAGGACTAAATAAATGAGAGCTATTATTGTTTAGGTGGCATTTTCTTTTTTCTTTAAGAAACTGTCTCTAAAATAATTATCTGCTTAACTGGTTATGCTTGTTTCCAAACTTAACTGTTTTAATAAATACAATCCAAACGTATATTTTGTCTAATCAAAGAGGATGGGGAAGGCATGTCCATCCCATTTTAGCTAAACACATATCACCTACAATAGGCTTCTAACACAGCAGCCACCACATAACTAAACTCCATCTTCAATTCTGTGGAAAAGTGAACAAAGTTCACCTTTTAAAGGTGAATTTGAGAAAAAAGAATGGGAATGTAGGGGCATGACTAAATTTCTCTGGAGGAGGAAGGTATGGGAAGTAGATTACAAAGACCCAAAGAAACCAGCAGGAAGTGCTGGGGAATGCCAGTCAGGGTACTCCACCCAAGGAGACCTGCGAAAATGAACTGTTGACAACTGCCCCCTCCACTCCTGCCTCCTCAGATTATCCCATTTACCTGCTAAGATGACAACATCAGCCTCCTTAAGTGCATCACGGCGGTTTTGCCGGATGTGAAGGCGACTGTCCCGGCCCAAGAGTCCCCTTGCCATCCCTCCCAGGAAGCAAGGGATACCCAGAGACTCAACTGCAGCTCTAATAAGAAAAGAAAAATCAGAGAAGCCTGGAGTAGCCCCTCCTGGTCATCAATTCTATTAACCTCAGTTCCTCTCGCCAGCCTCGATCCCCTCAACACCAACACCTCCACCCCCACCCCTGCCAGAGGAAGCCCAAGTGTGTCTTGGGTCAGGATGAGGGGAGCTGAAGAGAAGGGAGCCATGCAGGGGGAAGACAGGGTAAGATTCTAGCCTGGAGGGAGAGGGCAGACAGAGCTTCTCTGAATTAGATGCAGGGGATTCCTCAAATGAGGCACAGAAGCAAGGTCTCCTCACCAGAAGCCAGGGAGATTGGGGCAGAGGGGGAGGGGATGGACAGTGGTCAGGAGAAGGAAGATCTCTCCAGCAGAAGCTCTGACCAGGAGGAATACAGAAAGCGTCCTCACCGGAGGCTGTCAGCTGGGGTTGGGGGCAGCAAGGCCTGGCTGCCCAGCAACAAGAGGGGCTTCTTGGCTCGACTCACAAGTTCCACACAGCGCTGAACCTGTCAAGGGGTTCCCAGGACAGGGTAAAGAGAAGGTTCTTTTGCTTGTTGATAGATCACACACAGACACACACATACATATATACACACTCATACTCATACTCTCTCTCTCTCTCTCTCTCTCTCTCTGTCATGCCCAGGAAACCTCAGGGAGGACAACTCAGGCCCAGGGAAGCATGGTCAGCTTACTTGCTGGGAAGAGGCCTGAGGAATGTCCAGGGGCAGGGGGCCCTCGGGCTGTGGCTCCCAGGCCCCTGCAAACAGATTAGCCAAGTGGTTCTGCAGGTACCTGGTGGATGAGGCGAGGAAAATTAGAATGCATTAAACTGGAGAAACGGGAGCTAAGGAGGAAAAAAAAAAAAAGAAAGAGAGGGCAGAGGATTAAAAAGCACAAGGGATAGGAAAGGGAGAAAAGCCACAGGAAAAGGTAAATTAATACAGAATAATGATACATGAGAACTTGTGAGAGTCTTGGGGATCATTTAGCCAACCCCTTCATTTTACAGATGAGTCAACAGAGGCTCAGCAAGATAACATGACTTGCCCAAGGTCACAGAGTTAGCTAATATCAGAACTGGGTCTTAAAGCCAGGATTTTTAACCCCAAGTCTGGGGCTGGGTTGAAATGCCCACTCTGACACTTAACAATGCATGTGAGCTGAGGCAAGTCATTTCAAGTTCCTTAGGCCCCAGGATCCTCAATTACAAAATTAGGGGTTGGATTAGGTGGCTTCTCAGGTCCCTTCCAACTCTGTGAGCATGATCCTCTTCCCATCATACTACCCTTCTCCCCATCTCCCATGGTCTTTTCTCACCTTCATTTTCTGTGCTTTCTTGGTATCATTTGACACTTCTGTCCACCCTCTCAGTCCTCACCTGGCACTCCGAGGTCTTCTATTTCCCTCTAATCTTGTCTCCTTCAATAGTTCTTTTTCTTCTCCAAGGTCAATAATAACCAAGCATCTTTTCTGGGCTCTCCCTTTCTATTCTCACTCCTTCAAAGAGATCATTCACTGACATAATTTCAACCATCCCCACTAGACTGAGAAGTAAAAGACTTGGGTGCTAGTCCTGATTCTGTCACTAACTCAGTGTGATTTGGAAAGTCACAACCTCTTAAGAAAATTCAGCCTCAACCTATTGATGAGGAGGTCAGATGAGATGCCCCCTCCCTACGAGTCCTTCTAGATCTAATATTCTATGATTCTATGGCTTTCCTATCTACACAAAGCCCCAGCCTCCTACCTGGTATACCAATGCAATTCAACAAACATGTATGATACACTTCTAACTCCAAAACATTCTGTCATATTCCTAACTGCTTCTAGAACACCTCCAATTGGATACCCAAGCATCATTTTAAACTCGGTTATATCTGGAGCATACCTCTTCACCCTCAAACCAACTCCTTTCTCCCATTTGAGTCAGCCAGACCACCCAGGCTAGGAATTTCAAGAGGCACATTGGATCTTCCTCCTTCTCCACCTTCTGTCTCCTGGGTCCAATCTAACCCCAAGTTCTAGCAACCCTTCTTTCTTGTCTCTCTTATGTTCCTCCTTTTTTATTCTGATGCTGCCACCTTAGTCCAGATCCTCATTACCTCATACCTGAATTACTACAAGGGCGTCCTACCTAGTTTCCCTCCAGGGATTTTTAACCTAGGGTCTGTGAACTTGTTGGGTGTGTGTGTGTGTGTGTGTGTGTGTGTGTGTGTGTGTGTGTGTGTG